TTGTAGAGAAGGCCTATGGGCACTTGTCCTTTTGGGGTTTTTCATATCTCATTAGGGTCTGTCTTATGTATAGAGTCCGAACTCAAAAGCGGTTAATCACTTCGGACGGTTCCCTCGTTAGTGACATAAACAATACTCTCATAGCTAATGTTAAAACGAAATATAAGTGTAATTTATACCACTAATTTATCCATTCTATTGAAGAACAAAGCTTCACAACTTTTTTGAATTAAATCAATATCATCAAATCATTTTTTGCTTATCCTGGTATATTCAATACGAATTATGAGGATATTAACAATAAGCATTGTTCAAAATGTAATCATTCTATTGAAAATGCTGTTATGAACATACATTAACAAATTGTTCTCGAGTTTCCGTATTATCTAATAGTAAGCATTTTATTAATTTTTGCGACGTAAAATTTTTTTTGACTATTTCCCGAAGATCCAGCACTTCAATCGTATTAGGTTGTGGGTGTGGGTGTGTGAGTCGTCATATTACCTGTATTCACTCACACCTCACACCCACACCCATACTTATCCTGAAGGCAAATGTTAGAAATAAGGTAAAACGACTCTCTGATTATCTTTCGTCTCAAGAGAAGGCATTATAATTTATTTTGTATGACTGCAATGTTTTCTTTATACATCTGAAGAACAGGATCATTTTCATTGTGTATTTTTCTGCCATGTTCTAGAGCGCGTTGGTAAAATGAAAGTGCCTTCTGATACTGGTTCATCTTGGTATACACTACACCAAGGTTGTAGCAGCTATTTGCCACTCCGTAGTAATTTGGAGGGTCCTCGGATAGGTAAATGTCAAGTGCTCTTTCATAGTATGATCGTGCCTCGTTGTAGTTTTCCATTTTACCATGAAGCGTGGCGATGTCTGCGAAGGTGCTAGCCAACTTGGGATGGTGAGGAGAAATGGATGTGAAGATTGAAACTGCCTTTTCAAAGTTTGAAAGTGCTTCCTCGTACTTTTCCATTTTTTCATATACCAAGCCGAAATTTCTGTAACACGAAGCTAAGTGAGACTGATGGGGAGAGTTCTGGAGTATGTCCAATGCTTTTTGAAGATACGAACAAGCTTCCGAATACTTTCCCATATAGCCATACACAGATCCCATGTGACTGTAAGAGTTCGCCACGTGTCTGTGATGCATGGTGTGGGTTTTTTCATTCATCTCTAGTGCTTTAATATAGAACTCAAGCGCTTCTTCATACTGCCCCATTTTCAAATAAATAGAAGCGATATTAGTGTAGCAGCTGGCTAGTTCAGGAGAAATAGTAAGACCTAATTTTTCGTTGAATTCCTGTGCTTTTTTATGGAATGAAAGTGCTTCTGTGTATTTTCCAAGTATAGAATATACATTGCCGATATTTTTGTGGATAATGGCCAACTCATGATTATTTGGGTGAGATAATTTTTCATTGATCTTGAGTGATTTTTCAAAATGTCGAAGTGCTTCTGAGTTCCTTCCTAACTTCATACACACTGCACCGATAATGTTGTAGCTTTTTGCCAGGTCTGGATCATTTTCAGGAAGAACATTTTCTTGAATTTGTATTACAGATTGCATGTACTGTTCTGCCTTCATAAATTTTGATGTATTGTAGTTGATTATTCCCAACTTATAATAAAGAAGAGATTTTTCTTTCTTATCGTCATTAGAAACGTCTCGAAGTAGCGCCATGTAAACTTCTTCAGCCTTCTCAAAGTCTCCAGTTTCGATTAGTAAATTACCCAGTCGATGCCATCCTGTTGTTCCCACGAGCTCCTCTCGTATGCTGTGGGTAAGACCAGCCAGTTGTGGATCGTTACTTTCACTGGTAAGAGTAAGATTGACTTGTTGTATGTTCATCCCACTTTCTTGAGTTTCTTTGATTTGCTGCACGCGAAACACAGTGTGTGTTGAAAATAGAATTTCTTTTTCTTCTGGATACTGGCTAATTTCATCGATACGAGCAAATAGAGCCGATTTAATCGATGGATTTGTATTCAGTATGAAGAGCACACCAATTTTACTGTTGTCGGACTGAAGTTTTTGTTGAATGAATTCAAGAGAAACACTTCTTTCGTAAGTTGTTGATAAGAAATTATTAAAAGACATGAGCTGACCTTGTTTTATCTTTTTTCCAAAATCTTGTTCGGTCATCGTTTGACCACGGAAGACTTCATTTGGCAGTGGTGTATTCTTATCATTGGCTTGTTTGTCATGAAGTTCCTTGATATTTTTATGAAGATCACGCATAAAGATACCCATCTTCATTAGCGTGCTGACATCTAGCTTGCCCAATGCTTTGTTGATCATAGAATAAGTGAAACATTGCCTGGTATACCACCATATAGGCTTGTTCTCAACATTTCCGTGATAGTCTCGGGCAAACTCATCAATCAATTTCACTTGTTTTTCATTGCCGACATACTTATTACGAGCATAATCGGTTAAGTCTTTGATTTCTTTCGTTTCAGCGAACTCTATTTCAAGTATAATTTCTTTGAAGAGTAATGAGTACATGAATGATGGTTCGATTTGACCAGTAATCACGACAGAATCTTCGTCACATTCTCGAGCAGCTTGTCGAACGGAATTACAAATTGAGTCAATTTCTGTAAAAACACCTTTTACTTTTGGCCATTCTTTTGTTGCCCATTTTTCGTACTTGGATTGCTGTCGACAGAATATATAAATTGAATAAATTTGAGAGATTGAATGGGCATGTGGTATAACACTTTCACAAAGAGCACCCGAAATAATGAGAAAGGTTTTTTCATCATTTTTAAATTGTGAAATATAATGCATACAGTCATCTGAATCGCGAAATATTTCAATTGTATTAACAGTTCCTCGTAATTGCTTGATCGAATTTCGAAAATCTTCATTTGATTCATCAATTTTAGCATCGAGCCAAATTAGAAAGAAATTTTGTACAAGATCTTCTGCTTGTGCACGTTGACCTCGTTTTTCGCTAGTGACGTGGTCGGATCGTTTGTGTGAATTCGTGTGTGATGATGATGGTGATGATGGTCTTGCTGTCTTCGTCGGTAGAGAATTCACAGATCCCGTTGTTGGTATTGATGAACTGCAACCCATTTCGTATGGCACGTATGTAAAACCTTTTTGGCGTTGTTAGAATAGCGAAGTGCTATTAAACGAAAATGATTCTCTACTTAAACAGTTATATGTTGCTGAACGATGATATTTGTCTTTCTTATACTGTTGAATGTAAATTTTTTGTTGACACGAAAGGAAGGAGAAAAAAGTTGTTGCTTGGTTTCAATAGAAAAGCGCAGCCAAAAATTGCTTTCAACTGCTGCCAATATTCCGATTCTTGATGTTTCAATGAGTAATCAGTTACAAAAAACGTCATTGAAAAATCAATCAATGACTGTCTTATCGACAAACAACACAACAATTCAACAGTTTCTTTCTCTTCTCTGCTATTTCGTTCTACGTACACATCATCCGTTGGTGTCTTAATCCTTCATATTTATCATAAAAGGTATTCATCAAAACAAAATAAAAAAGTTCAGGGTGTGGGTGTGGATGTCAATTGAAAACTTTTATTCATAACACTCACACCCCACACCTCACACCCACACCCACTCACATCCACACCCACACCCACACCCACACCCCACACCCACCCACACCCACACCCACACCCCACATCCACACCCTAAGAATATTTTGTTTTGTCTGAAGAAGTTGTTTTTCAAACAACGAAACGTCACATTATTATATATATATTTTATAATAAATAAAAAAAGGAAGAGAATAAATTATGTTTACTGATTCATCAACCTTTCTCTCACGCAAACAATAGTTTAGGTTCATCAATATCACCAAGACAATCAATCTGATCATCATTCGCTCTTTCAAGAGATAAACACATAAGATGAACGCGAAAAATACATTCAACCATGATGATAATAGTAATGGATAATTATGTCTTGTTGAGCAGAAAGATCGAGAATCACAGTAGATGAACAAAATTGAACCGTTAATTGTTCAATTAGAAAATAGATGCGTTTTATCCGTTTATGTCACATTCTAGTCGCATCATATTATGACAATTAAAAACGAGACTTTCAAAATTATGAAAAAGAAAAAGAACAGTAACGCCCGAGCAGGGGCTCGAACCCTGGACATTGTGGTTAAAAGCCACACGCTCTACCGACTGAGCTACCCGGGCTTATTTTTCTTTCATGATTAGTATTTATGATTACAGATAGTGAAATAAGATTATGGACACTTCATGACATGCTTATTTACTATAATTGCTCGAACTTACATAACTTCGAATGAAATTAGGTATACATAACCATTTGAGATGTGACGAATAATAGTGGATTTTCATACATTATTTAGAAGTCAGAAACCTGCAAGTTGAATTCACTTATTGAAATTCTTTTCCAGATATTCAATTATAAAAAGAAAAGAATGCAGATCTCACTTATGTTTATTTCTTGACTGTAGTGGTGTAATCGACAACTACTCTTCTATATGAATTTCTAGTGGTAATGCTCTTTTATGTATTTCTTACAAATATTTATTTATTTGAAAAAAATTGGTCTTTCAATATTTCTTTTTTCACTTTGAACGTCTTTATTGTTCAACACTCCTTATGAGCTTGTTGAAATTTACTAGATGAACAGATTTTGAACCCGAAAAACAATGTTTAAGAATAGAAAATATAGACATCCACTATGAGCTATACTTTTGAAGAAATTCGAATACTAGCTACCCTAGGGAAAATCTTTGATGTTTCAGCCCCGGATCCTTGGAAGATAGGATCAAGATCCTGCAAGGATTCGATGTTTTTTCCTGAGGAAACGACTAAATCCTGAAAGAAGCGTGTAGCC